ATTCGCGTGCATTAGGGAGGCACTAAAATATCATCGGGTGCCTCTCTACTTGCGGGACGTAATCGGGACCTACCTAGAGCACAGAATAGTGCACTGCGTGGGACAGAATGGGGCGGTAGCGTCGAGGGAGATGCAGCGTGGTGTCCCACAGGGGTCGGTGCTGGGACCGATCCTGTGGGACATCGGGTATGACTGGAACTTGCGGGGTGCTCTACTTTCCGGCAGCGATGTTGTCTGCTATGCAGACGACACGCTTGTTGTTGCCAAGGGGAGCACTTACAGGGAGGCTGCCCGTCTTGCCACGGCAAGCGTGGCACTCGTCGTCGGTCGTGCGCGTCGCCTTGGGCTCCATGTGGCGCTGGAGAAGTCGGAGGTACTTTGCTTTCACAGACCCCGACGAGCGCCACCAGAGGGAGCCCACATAATGGTCAGTGGCCAGAGATTGGTCGTCAAGCCCCATATGAGGTACTTGGGGCTTGACTTAGACAGTCGCTGGAACTTCCGTAGGCACTTCCCGAGGTTGGCCCCCCGCCTTATGGCGGCTGCCGGTGCTCTAAGCCGGCTGCTGCCAAACATAGGAGGGCCAGGAGGGAGCACACGCCGCCTTTACCTTGGGGTGGTGAGGTCCATGGCCTTATATGGGGCCCCGATATGGAACAGGGCCCTGAGTAGGCAAAATGTGGCCTGTTTAAACAGGCCACATAGGGCCATGGCGATCCGCATTATACGCGGATACCGCACTATCTCCACGGAGGCGGCATGTGCGATGGCGGGCTCGCCGCCCTGGGAGTTGGAGGCCAATGCCTGTGCGTCGGTCTACGAGTGGCGTGCGGAGCGGAGGCGTCAGGGTGCCGAGCCTTCCAGCCTGGAAGTTGCGCTGCGGAAGTCCCACGTTCGACGGGTCCTGCAGCGGGAGTGGGAACAGCGGCTGGTCGAGCCATCGGCCGGCCGGAGGACCGTCGAGGCTATCCGTCCACTTCTTAAGAAGTGGATGGATAGGCGGCGAAGGCCGCTGACCTTCAGGATGACACAGATACTGTCCGGGCATGGGTGCTTTGGGCGATATCTGTGTCATATCGCGCGCAGGGAGCCGACGGAGGAGTGCCATGCCTGTGGAGCGGACCAGGACACGGCGGAGCATACGCTGGAGGAGTGCCCAGCGTATGCCGATGAGCGTCGTGACTTGTCCGCGGTAGTGGGGACCGATCTCTCGCTGCCCGCCGTAGTCCGGCGGATGGTGAGCAGTGAGAGATCGTGGGAAGCAATGCTCGTCTTCTGCGATGCCGTCATGTCGCAGAAGGAGGCGGCGGAAAGGGAGCGGGAGAGTGCCACTCTCGCACCGTCAATCCGCCGCAGACGAGTCAGACGCAGAAGAAGGGGCGTGCCCAGTTCCGCCCCTCCTCCTTCCCCACTGGGGCCGGGGTGATACCTGTGGGAAGGTATTGTCCCAATGGTCCTGGGGGATGTGCTTATATACCGGCGCATCCCCCGAGTGGTAGGGTGAGCACGCCATTCACCCTATCTTGAGAGAGGAGACCTGCTCTTACCATCAAGGGGCGGGTCGCTGCCGTCGGAGATGTGGTGAGTGCGAAAGCGAACCCATGTCTCCGACATATGGCACCTCGAGGGTATATCGTCTGGTTTTTGGTGGGTACACCCCCACCTTACGGGGGGACTCCCACAGTACCCATACACCTCCCACAAGGTGTATGGGTCTGCATAAAGCATTTTCCAGACGTTAAAAAAAAAAAAAAAAAAAAAAGGTACTTCTGTCCCCTTCGTGTTTCTACTGCGAAGCAGTTGTGTTTGCATGGCTGCGTTTCGGTTTGAAGGACCCATCCTTATCCCAATATGGCAGTGAATTTACAGGATACAGAGGAATAACCACCGAGTCCTCAGAAATGGCAACGCATGGGAGGTATCATGTGCTCATGTCTATAGGCAACGGTTACCACTTTCCATCAGGTGTACCGTCTGCTTAGTTGCATACAAATATATCTGTTTATAAAATTATTCTATATCCAAATCTCTTTTAATAAATATAGCTAATATTTTTAATTAAAAGTAATTAAAAATAATATGGCGTGAAGAATATAAAAAGGGGTTGGCGGCTCTCATTTACCTGCACCATTATATGTGGGTAAAATTATGTACTCGTAAAAATTTATGATTTAACCCCATCGTGTGGAAATGTACACTAAACTTTATTTTTTATGTAAAAGTTGACAATGTTTTTAAATATTGCTTCATTCAATTCATAATACATTTTATACACGTCGGTTTAAAAAGCTTTTTGTCTCCTTCTATTTGTTGGAGAATATAGAAGGAAATAGTTTAATATATTTTATATTATATTTCTTTTTATTTGTTTAAACTTCATTGCACAGTAAAATTCTATGTACATTTGGTGGATTTCACACCGAACGGTGTTCTCTACCAGTCAACCATTGAACAAACCGAGAAATAAGTAAGCGGTGCATTATTAAATAGAGAAAAAATAAAGCAGTGCTTGATATATGACATATTATAAATATATAATTAAACTAAATTACATAAATACATATTTGTTTTAAATATTTATCTGTTTGTAATTACTCCTCTCCATCCAAAGGTTGCCTGGAAGAGATTGCTTTCAGCGATAAGGTCGCCCATTGTTTTCTCATTGTGATTATTTCTTGTAATTATTTATATTTATAATAAGTTTACTATTGTAATGTTTTGGAGGGAACAAGGAAAAGTATCTATCTATCAATATATAATATTATTTGTAAGCATGAAAACCAATAGGAGGAAGCCTATGTTCAGCGGTGGACAGTTCACAGCTGATATATATACCGTGCACATACCGTGTATATATATATATATATATATATATATATATATATATATATATATATATATATATATATATATATATATATATATATAGTGTGTGTGTGTGTGTATTCTCTTATATTTATGTATGTATATTATAATCCGTTATTTGTTATTAAAGTATACATTATTTATTGTATCTAGATATATATTATTAACTGTTCTTTGCTTTACCTATCCCAATATGAAGTATACCGCGTTTGTGATTCACTGTTCAGCCCAAAGATTGTCTGGTAGAGAATGCTACTAGCATTAAGTCCGCCTTTTGTACCATATTTTCTTTTGGTCAATATTATTTAAATAAATTATATATATATATATATATATATATATATATATATATTTTTTTTTATTTTGAACTGAGTATGATCCTCTGGGAATCATCGTGGTAAATTCCTGCTTGGTGGCTTGGTTATCACGATGACCTAGCTGATCTCAATTTATCCTCACCTACCGCTGATACTCCACCAGCGTATACCATTAAAGCGAAGTTATTATTCCATTTTCATCCTTTTAAAAAGGAATAGAGTCTAAGTATTTGTATTCTTATACTTCTCATTGTATATTTGATTCATTCATTTTTCATTTGAAACGCTTTTATTACGAATATCTATATAAAATAGTTTGCATGAGATTAGACTCTATTCCAAACTATTAAAAACTATTTTTGAATGTCTCTTTATTAGAAATTAGATAAAATATAGTCTAAACGAGTATCTGACTGGGATAATTATAGAATATTATTTATTTTAATTCAGTACAGGTTATTAAAAAATATACTAATATTACAAATAAGTTATTTACTCAATTCAATATAAACTGCAAAATAGTTTTGATTGAAATTTAGTATATAGATAGACTCGTCGTCATCACATCAGCCATTTACTGTCGACGGCTGAACATAAGTCTCCCCTTATTGGGGAGAGGGGGTTGCCAGTAGTTGCCACTCTTGGCAGGCAGATTGGCAACCACAGTTAGGCCTTGGTGATATTTTAAGAGGGACGCCGCTACCTATCCTTTGACCACTAAGTTCCATAGTTCCCTCTTACGACACCCGCGAGATAAAAAGGGGTGGCCTATTCTGTACTGGGACCACTCGATATATATTTTAATAACTAGCTGACTCGGCAAACGTTGTTTTGCCATATACATTATTTCGAGAACTATACATGAAAATTTATCCTACTACAATTATTATATTCGATTGCCATCTTGTAACTCTATTGCGGCATAAAAAAATCGCGATTACAAAGCAGGGGTTGATCGCAAAAGCGTGAAAATTTTAATTTGTATGTATTTTTCAATGCCATCATAAAATAAAAATAAAAAAAATGTCAAAAAAATAAAATATTTAGAGGTGGGGCACCCTTATCATTGAGGGGTATGAAAAATAGATATTGGCCGAATCTCAGACCTACCCGATATGCACACAAAATTTCATAAAAATCGGTAAAGCCGTTTCGGAGGACTTTGGTAACAAACACCGTGACACGAGAACTTTATATATTAGATTATATATTAATAACTGCCATATAATTAGATAATTTGTTAGTTCTGGTAATTTCTAAATTTAGAATACCTTGCATTATGAGAAACCATTCATAAACATCTATGGAGATAGTCCAGAATACCCAGACATCAGTACATTTACAAAAGATCAATTCTCAAATTGATTGGACTGAGAATCGAACCCGGGAGTTCATTTACGGCGAGCAACGTACTTACTATTGCACAATAGAGATCGTGATTCCTCCGTTAAAGTTATTGTAATCCTTTATTAGTATTGTGTAAAAGTTTTTAAAGATATTTAGTTGTTTGTTAAATAAATGGCTGAACGAATTTGAATAAAATTACAGTACACAGATAATATTTCTTTTAACATACAAGATACTGTATATACTAATATAATATATATAGACAAAAAAAAAAACAAAACTACTTAATGACATTTGGAAGTCAGTTACTTAATCACGACGAAACAGCTGGAAGGGTTTTAATTAAATGTACACATATTAAACTATATTAAAACACAGTATACTTTTTATCTTAATTTAACGTGAACAAAACCGTAGTTTTAATGCCAATTAAGAAATTATAGTATAATTAAAAAAAAAAAGATATAATACCTTCATCGGGTCCAAATAAACTGCTACCATTTCCTCGCACTACGATATTGTACGTGGGGTTGTTAGCTAAAAAGCGATCCACTTTTTACATACCAATAATTCACTGATACCAAAATATAGCGTATCCACTTATACCCATTTTATAAGCAATTATTTTATTTTATGATAAGTACGACCGAAAACCCGTACGCGTTACACGTAGAAGCGCTACGAGCCGTCTCTACGAGTATACTGCCGTAGCACGGGAAGCTACGGAGGCTACGAAGTTACATCTCCTATATTACGACGCTCTGTCCCTTTTTGTCGTGTTGCGAAAAGGTTTTCTGTCTCATTTGTGAATGCTGAAATAAGAGTGGATGTAGATTTTGTTTGTTGAACGCTCGAACTAGAATCATTGTTGCTATTTTAGCGTTAAGATTTTTTTTTCTGAGCGCAGGGTTGCGTGTTGGGTTTTATTAGCCGACTGTTGTGAAAGAGGATTATATTTTTCTATTTTATGTATGTATGTATAAATATATAGCATAACATAAATACTAAATGGGATTTTGGAATAAAAAAAATAATAATTCAGGGGTCATTATATTCGTATTAATTGTGAAAGTACTAGATGGTAAATTAATTTTTTTTTATGTACTGTTATGTATACATCCTATAAAATAAATTTGAAGGGCTTTAACAGCCAAAAATGTACATAATATTTCATTTAACAATTAGGTTTTTGTAATTTAAATTCTTCCACTTTTAAAAGAGATGATTTATATCTCGGTTCACATGCACATGTGGTCATGAAATAATTATGACGTTCATTAACTACGAGAAACATGTAAGAAGGTTATTTTCAGTTAAAATTGTTGAAATGCGACCGTTGGTTGTGCAAGCATATAGTAGCATGAAATAAATACGTAGGTTATTGAAAACTCGACAAAATTCTTAGTATTTTTTTTAATTTTAGCTTTGAATTGAAATTGTTTCATATACACACGTTTGCACATGTCAGCGTCATGTAAATACCAAAGTTCATTAAATGATAGAAATGTATAAAAACAATTTGAATTGACAGTTGGATTTTCTTTTGTGATATCGTCATGTTCACTTTTTTGTTTAATTTGGAATTATTTAAATTCAGTTCGAAATGAAAATGGCTTCGTGATTGTAATAAATGTAGTAATTCGAATGCAAAGCAATACAGATTTGCATTTGTATTGTTACATTTATTTTAATATATTTCAATATTAATTTAAGTTATTACAGAATCACTCAAGAAACAATAGGTTGATTAATGTCTGAGATATTTTTCAATCCATTATCGTTTCTATGAATATGATTTATTGACATTGAACAGTGTTAGATAAAGCTGAGTGACTTTAAACGAAAAAAATACTACGGTACAATTTGATTTGCACTTAATATCAATAGTTTTAAAGTTCAATTTCTATTATCAGCGAAATGTTTACAAATGTATTGAAAGATAAATTCTTTTCTTAAAATATAAAAAAACAAATTTACAGTACTGAATAACATTCGTAGAATTAATTCAAGTTTTGCAAATTAATTAAATTGTATATCGATAGCTTGGATAAATTTGACTTAGATTACAAATTTATTAGTAATAAGACTATTTGTTATTTTTTTTTTTATTTTGAAGTGATATTTTTTTTATACAACTTAGAATGGCAAACAAGCTGACGGCCCACCTGATGGAAAGTGGTAACCGTCGCCTATAGACATATGTACATAACAGAGTAATCTGTTTCGTCCATGCGTTGCCATTCCTGAGGACTCAGGTGTTATTCCTCTGTACCCAGTAAATTCACGCCATATCCCACCCTTCAAACCGAAACACAGCAATGTAAACAACTGAATTACGGTTGAAACACGAATGGGACAGAGGTACCCAAACAATCGACTTTTGTACAAAGAGAAATCATACTTATTGTAAATTTAAATACGCTATCGGGATTTAGCGTGACGAAAAATTTTGCCGACGTGTCGCAATTTGTGTAAACAATGTTAAAATGACTACAAAAGACAAAAATCCATGGACTTGCAAGGACATATGCAAGTGAAAATAGTATTAATGGGAAATGTATTTCAATTGTAATTATTGTAATTTTTTAAATAAATATTACTTTATATAGTAATTATTATAATTATAAATGACGTGTCATAAGAGCCTGTGACAGATGTAGTTATGAATAAAAACGTTTTGATTGATTGAATGCAAAAGTTTAAAATTAACTGTTTATTTATTTATGTTTATTTCACCATAAATAAAAATTTACAATGACAAGTGAATAATTCAAGTGAAATACAGTAACATAAATACAGATTAAAATATACACATAAAGGTACAAAAGGCGGTTTTATCGATAGAGAAATCTCTTACTGTTGTAAATTAAAAAAAATAAACACAATGTCCACTTCTAAACATAATCCTCTCCCTAAGGGGGTTTTGCCATTAGTTGCCATGCTTGGTAGGCGGATTTGCAGCCGCAGTCAGGCTTTAGAGATGTTTTAAGAGGTATGCTGCTGCCCATTCCTCGCCCTCTCTTGGTCGTCTCTTACGACACGTGCTGGAAAGGAAGTGAAGACCTATTCTATGCCGGGACCACACGGGATGTGTTGAAAAGAAAAATATTGTACCGCATAATAATTTATTACATTAGAGAAAAATGTAAGGCAGCGGTGAACAGTACCATATTTTTATACCAGTGTTTACCCACGACTTCGTCCACGTAATTAGGACATGCTCGTTGACCGAGATAAAAATAGCCTATGTCCTTCCTTTTCTGTCTCATATAGTAAGTGTATATTAAATTAAGTCGAGACTAGTTAAGTCGTTAAGGCGATGTAAGGTGACAAACAAACTCACTTTCACATTTATAATATTAGTAAGAATGCTCTTTATTGGTACACCTGTTTGACCTAATTGTATGTTTTTAGGCATTATAAGGCAAACGAGCATGCAGATTCCCTGATGGTAAGTGATTACCGCCGGACGAATTGCAAGCGTGCTGTCGGCCTTTTAAAAATCTCTTTTATTGAAGACTAGCGGCCCGTCCCGGCGTTGCACGGGTGGACATTTGTACATTTTAAAGGTGTCTACTAAGGCTGCACACGCGTCGGAAGCTTAAAAATGGAGTGACTTCTCCCGTTTTCCCAACATTTCCCTTCACTGCTCTGTTTCTATTAATCGTAGTATGATGAAAAGTATACTATAACCTGCCCAGGAGTATGAATAATAATTGTACCAAATTTCGTTAAAATCCGTCGATTAGTTTTTGTTTCTATAACGAAAATACAGACAGACAGACAAAAATTTTACTGATTGCATTTTTGGCATCAGTATCGATCACTAATCACCCCCTGATAGTTATTTTGGAAATATATTTCATGTACAGAATTGACCTCTCTACAGATTTATTATAAGTATAGATTACGATGTCGTATCAACATGGAAATACTTCTGCTGGAAGTTGGTACCAAAGCGTGATTGTGTGTGGCAGAAAATGCCTTGAAAAGCAGACGGCAAAAAATCACCACCTATTCAGATGGTTGGGTAGGATCTTTAGATTATGATGGATTGTACGATGATAAAATTTAGAAGCAGATATTGATATATTTTTTCTTTACACAGTTTGAGTACTTAACGGTAAACACGACGCTCCAAGCAGCAGTCATTTTGTCTGAAATTGTCCAAAAAATGCCTCGTTTAATTTATTAAATTTGTCAAATTATTACTTTTTATGTAACTTTAGAATGGTTTGCCATTCTAATGTAAAGCTTTACTCGTGTAAATTACGAAATTTTTTTTATGCAACTTAGAATGCCAAATAAGCTGACGGCCCACATGACGGAAAGTGGTAAGCGTTACCTATAGACAGGAGCAGTATCATGGACATAGCAGAGTATACTGTTTCGCCCATGATAACCCCCATGCGTTTCCATTCTTGAGGATTAAAATGTTATAATAATAATAAATATATTTTCAGGTATATATCCATAGTTTACAGTTGTTATGATTAAAATTTCCTTTTAATTAATTAATTACAATTTTTACATCATTAATTAATTAATAATTATACAAACTATTATTATTATTTTTAAAATATACATTAATTACAAAATACTAACTTAAATCATTTTATTATAAAATCTTTTGTCGTCAAGTATGCAGTGAGGAATACTGTCTTTACAATAGGATTACTTATTGTCATTAATCTTTGATGAAATTTTGCCTTACATTGACGTAAAATAGCAAAAAAATCATTAACCTTGTTCTCTGCAAACATGCCTCCGTACCCTGTAAATTCACTGCCATATCCCACCCTTCAAACTGAAACACAGTCATGACAGCACAAATGCTTCACGGTGGAAACCTGAATGAGACAGAGGTACCCAAGCAAACGACTTTTGTACAGTCTCCCTCTGGTAAGGTTTACAATACCTTAATATAAGGCATAATAACAATAATTAACATTAGGCCACTGTAATCTGTAATAAAATGGAGGAAAGGAATTGTTAATAATGTCATCTAATAGCCTCATTGCTAGCAATATACTTTCTCAGGTCGATCTCCACGAGGTTCCCCCTGGAAACCATCACGGTTAATTCTTTGTCGAAGTCATCATGGTGAGCCAACTGACCTGCATTCATTCTCACCTATCATCTTCCACTGATGCCTCGTCGGTGTATACCGATAGCGCGGGCGGGGTTACCATTCCATTTTCACCCATTAAAAAAAAAACCTATAATAAAAATACTATTGTATTATTATTCTATAATCACATTTTATGCAGCATAGTGAATATTAAATGTACTTTACAAGGTGAAACGATGGAAAAAGGTCAGTCTCTCATAAAGAAGTCATGCATACTTCGACCATGACATGGTAAAGATCAAAGGGCTGTTTTATGTTTTAGTGAACGATGAGTTGTAACTCACTGTGACGACAGTTGGTGACCTCTGCACTTCACCCGACAGTTTAAAGGCGGGTAATGTTTTGATAGTATATGTTCAAAATTAACCATTGACCATTGTAGTTTTTTATAAGAAAGAAAATTGATAAACAATTGAAATAGAACAAAAATATACATACAATACATCAAGTGAACAGACGGCAATATTTTTTTTCTAAAAAATATAATTAATAAATTATTTATACATACAAGGACCAGCATTTTTTACAAACAGTATATGTATAGTTTGTTT